TCCTGTTAAGGCGATGTCAGCCTCTAACCATAAACCACGGAGTAAAAACTAAAACGAGAAAACAGAAACTAAATAATAAACACTCCATTTAGCTGTAATATTAATTACTAAATTTCTTTTTTGACGAAATCATGGAATAAGATGAAAAATAGATTATTGTTTATATTATCTCAATTTGTTTGTTAAGAGTATACAACAAAATAGCATCTAAGGATAAGATCCAGAAAATTTAAAGTTTAACGTTTGATCACATAAAGTATTTTTATCTTTTTAAATTTCCTGAATCTTTATACACAAACACACACACATTTAAAAAATTATAACAAATTACTTGTACAGATGTGTTAATCACTCCACTTTTTAGGCCGCAGTACAAGATATTTGAAACACATTAGACACAACACCGTTATTAGTGTCCATGTGCCACTGCATTTAAAGCACAGAGGGTCAACAATCATATGATAAGCAAACATTGCAGACAGTGAAGCATCTCGTATAAAGTCAAGGCGAGTTAGGTGACATGAGTTGTCCTAAACAGGGTACACAAACTGAGATTTCATGATAGTTCATTTGGCAATCCAGTTCCAGCATAAGGTAGGAGGCTGGCCAATGACAAGTTTGGAGAAATAAATGAGACATTTTTTGAGAAAAAAAGTGAGTTGTAGACTTGGCGGTGTCTCTAGGCTTGCTACAGGATCGCCACCATATAAGTCTTAAGATTAGTAGAGTCAACAACCCGAATAGAGCTGTGTAATCAGCACCACAAAGATGGCATCAACACCACCACAGTTTGCACGGATGCAATTTCATTAGTCGAAGAATGGTACACTCGGTTGTCCCTCACAGATATTTATCATCTCCCGCGACTCCTAGCCCAATCTTAAATAGGACTCCAAGCAAATCCGAAACATGACCAGCACTCAAACCCAGTTTGATAAATTTGCTTCAAAGGCAGCTTCCATTTAGTCGGGGAAAAGAAGCACCTCAGCTCTTCTTTTGATTTAGGAGAAGCTTTTGCGTATTTCTTAATTAACAAAAATAAACAAAATATAATAATTTAATACTTGTAATCTAAATTTAAAATTAATTTTAAAAAAATTGATTGTGATGGCAATAATTATTGAAAGGTATCATTAAAATGATTAGACTGCCCCCAAAATCAATTGGTAGCTAATCGACAATTGTACCCACAAAGTAGCTTCTTTTAAAAAGTTATTTCATTTAGGTACCTCCTCAAGAATTTTGCTAAAAATATGTCCAAATCACCCTTGTTACCAGCGTGTAACCCTAAAACACTAAGGGCATTTAAGCAATCTGACCTACTTTAGTCACTTGAGCCAAATGATCTAAACACCCCTACTTGCTCGAGGTTCCAAACCCAAAACATGTTTTTTCATTGAAAATTGTAGTTCCAAAATTTGAAACCCAAAAGAAGCAAGGGTACTTATATCTTTTGGCTCCATTGACTTGAGCGGAGCCAAATCACCAAAGTGGCCCCACTTGTTCCAGTTTCCAAAACTACGATTATTTATTGTGAAAAAACATATAATAGATTTGGAACGCAAAACAAGCAGGGGTATTTAAGTCTTTTGATTCAAGTGACTTGAGTAGGTCAAATTACTAAAATACCCACACTTGTTCAGAATTAAAAACCCAGAACAAGAGCAATTTGGACATTTTTAACAAATGTCTCAAGGAGGTGCCTAAATGATAGGATTCTCCAAAAGTAGCCACTATATGAGTCAAATTATAGATTTAACCTACCTCATTGATTTTTTGACCATTTTAATGATTCTTTTCCCCGAGTTATTTTTATGAATCTATACTCCGTTTTCAAGATACATACACACATATTTAAAATTTTAAAATCAAGATAGATTAATAGATATCAAATTTGGATTTCCTTATTTGCACAACTTTCCCATGATGACTTCGCTTTAATAGCAATCATCTTTTCAAGTAACTTGCACACACATTGAAAGCACTTTCTATTAATTTCTCTTTTGCATGGAATACTTACCTTATTTCCAAATTCAAGCTCAAGAAAAATAATTTCAATATCACTGACACGCAGGTTTCCTTTTTTATTATTATTATTCCAAATATGATCTTACGTGATGATTGTTCAGCCATCATCTTGGAGAACCTAAAAAGTATCACAATACTTCAAATGCATCAAGATTTCTCAGATATTAAAACCACAATACTTCTAAATTAGCTAGATTTTCATTGATTATTTATTTTGCTTCTGTTTGGAGTCCAAAGACAAAGGCTCCAAACTCTTCAACCTAAGAGAATCAAATCTAGCCATGTTACTCCAAACAATATCAGGAAACCCAAATAATCAGTGAATCTTAAAATAAGGAAACCAGAACTCAACAGTCCAACTAAAGCAATAAAACTGAACCCATAAGACTTGAACTATATTTTTGGCTGAAAAATTCCAAACCCAATTAGACAAAAAATTCGTATCTAAATTCCCAACTGTTCTTCTAACCATATTTAGAGCTAGAGATGGAAATTCAGAAAAAACCGCAGAAATAATATTCAAATATCTCAAAGGGATATTTAAATTGAGCTTTGGACCATCCATAACAGACATCTTAGCACAGATTATGCGTCTCAAAAGCCGAATATAGTGCATAGCAACCATCATTTTCTTGGCTACTCATTGCGAGCTCCTCGTTAACTCAGAAATGTATTGGCATGTACTCAGTAAGTCAATAATTGGCTAATCACCACTCCTCGCAATTCAACAGCAATTCACAGAGATTCCCAGTCAATTCATGACTAATTTATACCACATATATACAAATTGAACTTTGTTATATACATGTATATATATATTTACATATATACAAATTGAAAAAAAAAATGGTCATACCAATTCATAACTCTTTGATTACCTAATCACAAAACTTCAAACATGAAATTACAAGATAACTAAATTGTACAGCAAGTTTCCAACTTGCCATATTCTTAGTTTGCTATATTAAGTGTCATGAGCACATGAAAGTCAGCTAACCAACCACTACCACAGCACAAATATTTTACATAAAATCAATCGAGAAGGGATACCATGCCAAAATAGCTTAATAAATCTGCATTTTTCTAAAAACACATATGTAAATTATCAAACTCATAAATAATGAAAAAAATGGACTGTATTTACAACAATAACAAATGTTTGATGCATAATAAAGTTCACAAATAAAAAAACCTGTTTAGGGGCATTATTGTTCGAAGCTAAAACCCCACAATGTGTTTCCCAGAAATATGTAAATATCTCCAAATTCTAAAAACCCCCCGCCAAGAACACAGGAAGAGATATTCAAAATGCTTAAAGTTTGTTCTAATCTCCTCATTAGAAACTTTCCCCTGAATTTGTACCTGAAAATCTCTAAAATGTTTTCGTACTGACCATTTGCCTAAAAAATAGGATCTTCTAGATATCTTACCCTACATCTAATTCCCTAGTGTGTTGTGTGCGTGAGTGTGCATGTGTGCACACATGCTACTCATGTGTACATACACGCGTGCGCATACATACATACATTTACGCATATGTAGCGTGGTCTCCAAGTACAACCCCCAAAATTCTCCTTGCAAATTGCTAAAAATGTAGACAAAACTCTCGTCTCAAACTCAGCGAGTTTTGGCACTTTCTCACGAAAGATAATAAGTCCACAAACTCTTGAGGAGGTGACCTCCACGCCAATTTGACAGGGGCTACTCATTTTGAAAATGAATCTCCTTAAATCATGAGGAATTTCAATTCCCAGAGGATTCTAGCCACCACGGCCAGGTCTGCAAGTTGTAAGAGGTTAATGAGAGGAAAAGTTCATCAATAAATGCCATGAGATTCATGTATTAATTTAACCATACACGCCTCCACAGAATTCCACACTAATGAGAAACTGCTCATGTAACAAAAATGTCAAAAAAAAATGCCACTTGAGCAGCATCAAACGCTTGACTCAACAGCTGGGACAAGCAGTCATATGGGCAAATAGAAAAAATCGATTATCATATGACATGCTAAGTTGCACATAATGCCCCATAGACTGCACTATAACAAATTCAGCCTGCTGGTTTTTAGCATAATGCCTGAGTAGCTTGCTTAACACAATTCAAATACATATCCATACATTTAAGCAACAAATATACTCACCGATGAAACAAAACAGTACAAATATACTCACCCAGTATATTAAATTTCCCGGCTATAATTACGCAAGAAAAAAAAGATACATAAAAAAAAGCAATTAGATACAGAATACACGGAAATTCGCAAGCAAAATTATTCAGGTAAACAGATATTGTAGAAATTCACAACATCTAAAAACGTAACAAAAGTCTTGAACCATATATATACATAGGAATTTCGAGATGATGATGATGATGACAATAATAATAACAATAATGATAATACAGGATAGCGTCCTATGGAAGGTAAGATGAAGTCGTGGGTGGAACCCTAATGCCTATTTTTTTTTTTTTTTCCAAAAAAGCTAACAAATTCACATAGTATTCCGAATACAGCTAAAAAATCTAAGCCCATAAGTTGACCAAAAATGAAAGAATCTAAATAACACAAAATTTCCCAGACGTACTGACTCACCAAACATACTAAAACTCGAGAACTACAATTTCCTTTTTCTTTTAATTAGAGAACATTTGAGAATAAAAACGAAGCTCTCAACAGGTAAAGTCACTCTACGTTACAGCTCCCCACAAAAAATTATAGCAATTGCAAGAAAAAACATAATATTTCACCGTAAGAGAAAAAAATCCTGATTAGCTCAGCAACCCTAAGTAGTTAAATTTAAGAACCTCAACCATAAGCAAACAACAAACAACTACCGCAAACTTAATTTAGCAACTCCAGCAAACGATTGCAGTGCTTATTGCTTTCGAATTATGGCAACAAACAAATAAAAGCCTAGAGCGAGAAAGAGAAATAGAGTTCACGAGATTTGAAGCCGAAAAAAAAATGGAACCTTTTTCTTCCAGCCTTGTGGAGCTGGAAGCTCCACGGAGACGACCTCGCCCTTATCATTGTTGTCGTGAGTTTCTTGAACCATGCCTTCATCTCTCTCCACAAGAGTTGCCATTTTCGAGTGTGGGTTTCAGAATTCAGAGTTCCCGCTCCCTCCAAAGTGTGGTACCCAAAAGTAAAACTGAAAACAAATGACGATTATCCTCTCTCTCACTCTCTCTTCCCTCGCACCCTATTTTCGTCTCGCTCTAAACGGGGAACCGTGCGTGTCGAAAATGTATGAAGTTGAAAGCGAAAAAAAACAAAATCGAGATAAAGTCCGGTTTGAAATCCGCTACAAACTGCAATGGAATTCAGTTTTGTGTCCGTTGCGTAACCCACCCCTTGTCACGTGTACTTTAAGTGCGGAGCGAGATACTCAAGGAGAGAGATTGAGCGAGCGTGTATAGAGCTGCAGCGTACGTCCGCGACATCACACTGTGCACGTACACCGTGGAATGTAAAATGATTTAATAGCGCTGCAGTTTCAAAGTAAATAGAGCCCCGCCTCAAACTCACCCGAAACTGGGATTATGGATGGTATTGGAAATTTTCAATTTGGGCAAATAACTAATAATAATTAAGATTTCAAGCCTTAAAATTAGTTTATATTGTATCAAATTATCTAGATTGTCTATTTCACCTTAAAAATAAGTTTCAATTGTATCTGCTACATTGTACAAGTAATAGAAATTGGTTTTAGAGCAATCATGAAGATTATGCATGCTCAAAGTGCTTTTGGATGAGGATTTGAGATGGGGTTTTACTCGTCCATGTCAAATTAGAATTGTAAACCATATATCTATAAGATAAAGAAATTACAAGTAACCTTGTTATTTGGGTCTCAAAAATTTTATTTTAGACATTGAGCCTAATCGATAGACTACTAACCCCCAATTTGATATCCAACGGCCAATCATGATCATGACATCTTTCTACTATAAATAAGTGGCCTCTTTCTTACATACTTAGAATCAGGAGTATGGGATTTCAACTTCATAAAAACAAAGGTGGCAGTGGCCACGGCCTTAAAAACGAGCACCGGTTCGAAGGCCAGGCCAAGGTTGGAACCGATCATTACTATAAGTAAGCGGGGATTGATTCTCCTACATAATGATAATTATTTCGCTGCATTTGTCCTTTCTCACTGAACAATCGGAAATTCGTATTTTACATCATTTTGGGATGCTATTATAAATATATATTATCTCCGTTATTGTCTCTCGAATGGTATAATTATTGTGCAGCACCTATGCAAATAGGATCGATGAAAATGTTAAAACCCAAGAAATAATAACAACGAACAAAATCAAAGCAACGGCAAAAGCAACAAAAAGTAGTGGGAAAAATAAAAAAAACTCTAAAACTTCGGTGCAACTTACCCCAACCTATTTTATTTTATTTTTTACTTTTTTTTTCAAAATATATTTTCTATACAAAAAAACACTAACCAAATAAAAAATAAAAAAATATTTAATCTACTCTCTTTTATTTTTACCTTACTCAGGTTTCTCTCTCCTCTATCTCATCAAAACAGAGGGCTCCAGGATGCGATCCGACACTAGCACTCCGCACTGTGTAAAGTTTGGTCCGGCAGTAAGGCTCCGATACTATGTAAAGTGTGACACGGCAGTAGGGCACCGACCCTGTCTAAAGAGCAGTCCGACAATTGAGAAGGGCGGTCCGGCCTTTGCAAATCGCAGTGCAACAATTATGCATTCCGGCAATGTGATGTGCGCTCTTACAATATGCAATTGGGGTCGCTATTGGGATCCAAAAGTCGTCAAAACTGTCCAAAATGATTTGTATGTACGAGAAGGGCATTTCTATCTTAAAAAATGACATTTTTCCTTTGAAGGGTATTTGCATAGAAAGTTTATTTTGCGGAAAAAAATGAGATAAAAAATTAAATTGGGGTAAATTACATAAAAAGAATGGTACCGAGGTTTTTTATAATTTTTTGTAATTTTCCCAAAAGTAGTAGAGTGACAAATTTTCGTACGGACAAAATTTTATGGGGTGTCGCCCTTGTGAATCCAAATACTATGTGTAACTTGAGCAATGACCGGTGTTTGCATACAGTACAAACAAGGGAAAATAAAACTTTTGAATCGTGAAATGCTGAAATAATGAAAATAAAGGGTATGATACATCAATGGCATAAACTAAAGGTTGCAATCTTAAGTTGTTGAATTAAGGTGCACCTCCAAAATCGATCATAACAAGTTGTTTTGGTATTGGAAAACCCTCTTTGGTCATCTCAACATCTACATGTATGGATATGAAAAAATAAATAAAAATATTTCGAGTCCCAAGAATTGTGCATCTTACAACATATTATCTATACTGTTCATTTTCAATATTTCGAGTTCCAAGAATTGTGCATCTTACAACATATTATCTATATCGTTCATTTTCAATATTTTACAAGTGTTTATAGATCTACTAGATTTGAACCATTTATGGAATTTAAAATTTAACAATTGGAGATGAAAAATAGATACTTAAGTCATCCTAATAATGTTTTACACCAAAATTACATCTTGTGATAATTTTTGGAGGCGCACTTTACTGTGATTGTTTAAGGTTGCAACCTCATGCAACCCATACCCTGAACTAAAATGGACATGGGGATACAAGGATATCCTCCTCACAAAAGCGAAGTGTATCGTAAGCCAATGGCATAAATTAAATTAGGAAAATTGTTTCATGCAGACTGGACCGCATTTCTATAATATGTGGTCTCAAGGTATAAAGCATTAATCTTAAAGATGCACGCAAATAAGTGGTCCATCTAAAAACAATTGAAACAATCTGTCCAACTGTTTTCTTAATAGAATTATTATTTTTAACTTTACAATTTTATTTATTTGTTTATATTCATGATCTCCATGTTAAAAATTACATGTCCTTAAAAATTATGTCCAAAAATCTATCTCAAAAATAGATTTTTAAGAGGTGACTCATTTCTACATTAACTCATAGAAATTGTCATATGATATCAGGACTAATCCGTCTCTAATGCCAAATGACGGAGATGACCTCTCTAAAAATCTGGAGAGGAAGGGCTCATCTATGTTTATTGTCATCGAGTATGGACCATGGACATGTTTATAAAAATATATTACAGAAAAAGTTTATATAAGATTTCAAATTTATTTAAAGAGGTAAGGTTGCAATAATTTATATTGTTCATTTTATTTTGATAATACCATTTTTTATACTATTTTAAAATGCGTACCACTTTTTTGATACTATTTTAAAATACATGTTAAATTTACACCATTAAACTAAAATAGATGGTGTAGAAAGTAACTTTATTTTTACAAATAAGGTAGCAATCTTATATAAATCACACATATATATTACATTGGCCATGGTAAGGAAAATATTTTGTTTTTTCTTGAATATTGGTAAATGTTCCGAGCATTAACTTTCATACCTTGTTACAATGATTTAGAAAATGCCGATCCAAGATTGAAATCGGTAGGACCGTGCTGGTTCTATATATATATCAGCAGCCGTGCGGTTTTAGAAAGAACATACAGGTTATTTAACATACCCGATTGGTTTTGTTAGGAAACCGAACATGGTTCCCACTTCTTATATTGCAGTTTTTATGTTTTCAAATTGATTAATTTAATATATTTTTATCGTATTATATATTTTTTGAATTATTTTTAATACATGCCACTCTCTTAATTGGAATGGTCCAACCTTCGCCAGATTCCACTCTCTTAAAGCAGGCGATACTCACATTTTCAAGCAAAGAGCAATAGATAAATTAAATACGAATGAAAATAAATATAACACCTCTATAAAGATAAATTTAAATGCAACATTTATAGAGATAAAACATCAATAAATCTATAAATGAAAATAAAGAATTGATTTATTCAATTAATTATTAGGAAAGGGAAAAATTAGAAATGAATAGGTCACTAACCCCTTTTTAAAGAAAAAATGTTTTGATAGGGGTGCAATACTATCAAAATAAGTAAAACCTCAAACTCACATTAAAACTCCAAAAAATTACATTTTTAGCATAAAAAACCTTGAAATCGATCATCTAGGCTTTGACAAGTATGAGTTGTAAAAAAATTAGGATTTCAATGCTTAAAAATAATGTATATTGTAATATATTCTCTAGACTGTCAATTTCATCCTAAAAAAACATTCACATATTTGTTAGATATGTGTATTTTTTTAACTTCAATTTTTGTAATCGGGAGTTAGAAATTGATTTTAAAGCCAACGCTAAAATTTATGAGGCTTTTGTTTTGTTATCCTACAGCGTATGCTTTACAGGAGGTGTATCCTTTTTCTTTTCATTTTGTGAGATGAACTCATTAAAAAAAGTCTATATAAATTTATTTTGAACTTTTTATTTGACTAATGAAATAAATAGAGCGACCCAATTTCAAATCCAATGCCCAAGATTAATTATGATAGACTTTCCCACATACATATATCAAAAAAAATAAAAATAAATAAATAAATAAATAAATAAATATATATATATATATATATGAGGGTAGAAAAAGCATGCGATTGATCCAAACAAACAAGAAACTCAAAAGACTCATATGGAGTGAGAGGTCCAGCAGAGGTTCAATGCAAATTCTTCAGCAAAGGAGCTTTTGGGAGCGGAATTTGTTGAAAGGCAGGCAAGTTTCGATGCTTCCTTCGTCCCTGCTCTCTCTATCCAATTAAGTACATATTTATTTTACCTACCATGCTACGGTTTCCCTTTCTCTATGAATGCAGCAGGCTCTGCGCCAATAATCACCGTCGCGGGACCACGAAAACAATGACCAGCCCAACGAAGGATGGCACCGTCGTAGTGGGGAACCCTGACACGCTGGAGAAGAAGAAGGCCGCCATTAAATTTGCAGGTCCATCCAAACTCCAGGTTACTTCCATTTTCTCTCTCTAAACATCATACAGTATCCATGTTTTGTTTCTCTCTCTTTTACCCCCAAACACTGAACATTGTAACATGTCCATCAAAGTCATGTCACCATGTCTGCGCTCATGGTGCCCCAGAAGTTGTCACTCTTCTTCTTCATCATTTCGCTGTTTTCTGACTCCTCACAAACTTTTCAACATTTCTTACTCCACTTTTGCATGGGTTCAACCCAATTCTGCTGAACCCAGCGAGCTAGAGAGGCGTATTGTCTCTCTCTGTAAAAGCCATGTTAAATTGAAGGAAGCAGTAACTATCCTTAACTCTATGCTCCAATCGAATTCGAAACCATCCTCTTTCACTTGTTTCTCTCTCCTCGACTCCCTTTCTAGAGCAGGAGAGCATGACAAAGCTCTCTCTGTCTATAAAAGCATTGCTACAGCAGAAATTTTACCCGATATTAATATTCTTCACACTTTGCTCAACTGTTTTTGCCACACGCGAATGACCCATTCTGCTTTTGGGGTTTTGGGTTTAATTCAGAAACTGGGTTATCGTTTCTCGGTTATTCAATTGAACATTGTGATGAGAGGTTTGTGCAAGGAGCGCCAGGTTGCTAGGGCCATAGAGCTCTTCCAGGTTATGGAAAAGCAGAAGCTTCTACCAGATGTTGTTACGTATAATACTCTTATAAATGGGCTCTGTAAATCCATGCTTTTCGAAGAAGCCTTGACATTATGCAAAGAAATGAGGAAGAGAGAGTGTTACCCCAACATTGTCACGTACACCACGCTCATTGATGGTCTTAGCAAGGATGGGAGAACAGAGCAGGCAATGAATTTGTTAGGGGAGATGCATCGAAAAGGCCTTAACCCTGATGTGGTTACTTATAGTGCTATTGTGAATGGTCTTTGCAACAAAGGCTTATTTGATAAAGCTATTGAATTGTTCCATGAGATGTCAGAGAAGAGAATTTCCCCTAATGTGGTCACCTACAGTTCTTTGATTCATGGTCTTTGCAAGAACGGGCAGTGGCAGGATGCCACTGAAATGTTCAATGGTATGCTTGAATCAGGGCTTCAACCTGATGCCATCACATACACAGGATTGGTTGATGGCTTGTGTAAAGATGGAAGGGTGCCACAAGCTATGCAATTGCTGAATACAATGATGGAGAAAGGGGAAGAGCCAGACACAGTGACATATAATGTTTTGATTAATGGGCTCTGCAAAGAAGGTCAGATGGGTGATGCCATGAATTATATGGGCAAGATGATTGAAAGAGGAAACATGCCCGATGTGGTCACTTTCAATACATTAATGGTGGGATTTTGCAGAATTGGTAAGGTGGAAGAGTCTGTGAAACTTCTCCAACACATGCTTGATGGGGGTTTCATTTCCTATGCACCTGGCAGTGTGGTTTTCATAGATAAGAAGCATAGAAATTGCTGTGTTGAGCCAGACATAATGACGTATAATACACTCGTACATGGGCTTTGCAAAGAGTGTCGTGTTGATGAAGCCGTTCAGCTTTGTCAAAAGATGGCAGAGAGAGGGGTTGCTTGTAATCTGGTGACTTATAACATGTTGATTGATGGGTTTTGCAAGGTTCATCAACTGAATGAAGCTTTAATGCTCCTACAGCAAATGGGTGATAAGGGATTTGAGCTGACTTCCTTTACATATAGCATCTTGATAGACGGGCTTTGCAAAAATGGCAAGATTGAAACTGCCAAAAAGCTTCTCTATGACATGCAGTCTCATGGCCTTGTTCCTAACCAACGCGACTATAATACATTGCTAGATGCATTATGCAAAGTGGGAGATCTTGAGCATGCAATGAGTTTGTTTCTGGTGATGAATGAAGGTGGTTGCGAACCAGATGTCATCACCTTCAATATCCTTATTGATGGGATGTGCAGAGCAGGAAATTTGAATGATGCAAAGGAAATGCTTAATGAGATGATTCAGAGGGGTTTTATCCCTGACATTGTAACATACTCTATAATAATAAATGGGCTCTCGAAAGTGGGAGATATGGATGATGCCAAAGGATTACTTGAAAAGATGATTGCAAAGGGGCTTTCTCCAGATGCTTGCATATATGATTCCCTGTTGAAAGGGTTTTGGGCAAAGGGTGACGTGGAAGAATTTATGAGGCTACTCCATGGAATGGCAGCTCAGGGTGTTAGACTTGATGATAAACTTGAATCGACAATCTTGGATTGCCTCTCTGGTGACGGTCGAATCTCAACATTTATGGAGTCTCTACCCAAATTTTCTCAAGCGAATCTCATGTAAAGAGTTGTTGATAAACTCCAGGAATCCCATCCCATGCTAGAATCACAAAAAGTTAAATCTCAATTGTAGTTACTTTTTGCCTTTGCCCCCATGAGTGTTAGCATGGGTTATATTTGTAATCAAAATCCAGTTAGAAGTTTTATAATGCATTGATTTTTTTTAAATAATTGAAAGCTAATAAATTCCCAAATTGTCTATCCAAATGGAGGACCTTTGTCGTAATTTCCTTTTCCAGACTGGAATTGCCAAAAAACGTTCATATATACATTTGGAAATATATGAATTTAGAGAGACTGTTAATGTCAGAGATCCTAAATTTCATGGTGTAATTAGAAATTGATTTACTTACACCCTCGGGGCATTATTAAAAAATAAAAAATAAAAAATAAAAAAAGAAGAAGAAGAAAGAACATAATCTCAAGAAGAAGAAGAAGAAGAAGAAGAAGAAGAAGAAGAAATAACATATACTTATTAAGGTTTTTCAGGCTTTATGTGGAAGGTAGAAATGGAGAGCGCCACCTGGTTTTAGTTTTTGTAATCGGATGTCTCACTTATTATTAATGTTGCATCAGATGATCTAAATTAATCCACTACTTTTCTTTAAGCAAGACATAGAGATAAAACAATGCTAGATTTTAGCATTTCCAGTGATGTTATACACTGTTCTTTCCTCCTATGACTCACTCAAATGGGCCTGCCCTCCACTGCTGGCGTGTGTTACCCAGACACTTAAATATTGAAGAAGTGTCACATGTTGACAATACTTGACATGGGGATATCAGAAGAATGTGTAGAGAGAACAAGGGTGGAGTTTGTACCCAAGATGTCATGTGCCAGGTTCACGTGGTCTATCCTAGTGTAAAAGTGGATGTATATATATATAGATTGAAAGTATATTGTTTTACCATAAAATAACAATTTTATGGATGTGTCTTGCTGTATTGGTTTTAGAATGAAGCACCAGACACTTAGATATTGGTTTCTAACACCCGAGTCTGTGTCTAGGTAGCATAGCTGTTGGGAGGTTGGAAAACCTTTTCTCCCACCACACTGCATCCTCTGTTACCATTGGAAGCCACATTTCCAATACTCAAAACATGAATCATATAAGACCCTCCCACTCATGACTTTGGCCGCTGCGCTTCCCACTCTTCAAATCCGTCCCCACTGCATAAAAAAATGGAAGCCTGGCCTAAGGAAAGAACTCCTTCACTAACAACATGTCGAGAAAGTCCATGACTGTTTTAGTTGCATTTCTATAATTCTATTAAAACCATTTCTTTTATCCTCTTTGCTGGACTTCTCAAGGGTTTATGACTCTTTTCCCCCTTAACATCATCACTTGGAAGAGGAAAGGAAAAGCTTGTGTACCAAAAATGTAATCATGGATTTTAGAATTACTTTTAGAAATGAGGGAAGAATATGAATTAGAAGATCACTGGTAGCTTTCGAGAGAATCACGGGTCGATAGAACTGATAGTAAAAATTATTTTAATCATATTGAGAAATTAGCAAGGAATAAAAGCTTAGGACTTTAGTTTTATACACACTGTCTTAGATGAATTGATTTATACCATTTAAACTAGTTTCAAGTGATTCAATTATATCCATAGTTTGCCTGTTTACATGTTAATCAAGGGTGTCAAAATAGAATTTAATTCAGCTATTTTTGGATGGATATAGCAAGATGCCCTTCAAGTTTGTTACCTGGGTCTCTTTTGGTTTGCTTTCAACATGGTGTTGTTGTCGAGGATTAACTGATGCCAGAGGGGGTAGAGTGGTTATGGTTCCCCATTTTAGATATAGCCCAAGGGAGAACAACTTGTTAGATCTATTGCCCCTTTTGCTGAGTCTTAAATTTGTCTATATTCCTTCATTGAGAACGTATCACCTAGTTTCGTTATGGGATTATATTGGTCAGTTTTCAGTGAGATCCTTTGTCTGACTCCTACGGGTGGAGGGGTATCAAGCTTTTCCCATTATTACAATTTTAACATGCATAACATGCATGTTATTTGGTGCATATTTGTAAGTTTATATTGATAACTGCATAATGGTCTTTTAAGAAAGAACCTACGGCTACAAGGTACATCGAAATGTACCTCAGGTAAGCAACTGTGGACCCAGTTATTTTGGTGTCCTCCCACAATTGAATCTGGCATCCGGAAGGTTTAGTTGTCTGATTGCTGATATTTTTTTTCTAATATGCCCCAATGGTCATTATCAGGTCCGAATTGATGGTCGTCATCTGGTGCGAGTCTAAGTCCCTGCAAGCAGCTCTGCTATCAATAAGGAAATATATGTTGTCATAATGGTTAGATGCCTCTAATGCATGCAGTATTAAAGTGTTTGTGATGTCTTTTAGTTTGATTTTGTCATGTATTGAGGTCACTGTTAGCATATCTTGTTTGGTGCTGGTGCTGGTGCTGCACTTGATCCCTAGGGCATATTGTACTAACTGAACTTTTTGTGGATTAATACTTCAAGGGATGTATATTAATGTGTTTGGCTGTGCATTATCAGCTTGATGCTGGTGACCTGCTTCCTCTATTTTTGTTAGCTGGATTTTGGTCTAGTGTTCTGATTCTGTTTTGTAGGTGATTGCTGATTTTGATGCCACACTTACAAAATACTGGGTCAATGGAAGTCGAGGACACAGTGAGTTGCATAATTACATGTGCTTGTGCATGTGTACTGGTGGGCTGTGTTCTGATTTGCTAATGTCATTGTAGGCAGTCACAATCTGTTGCAGCAGGGAAATCCTGAATACAACTTGAAGAGGCAGAAACTATATGATCACTATCATCCATTGGAATTCTCTCCAACTATTCCTATTGAGGAGAAGGCAAAGCTAATGGAGGAATGGTATGCTTTTATTCCATAATCCGTCTTCTTAGTTTAACATGTAGCTGTTCAGGAGTTTCTTTTTCAGGCTGTAAAGTTAGGAAGCAATGTATGGTTGGCCTTCGGTCATTTGTTTTGTTAATCTCCCTCGAGACCAGCATCCACTCAGCATCAAATTTCATTGCTTATGCCAGTGCACATGTTCAATTAGCATTGGCATACCTTGCGCGTCTTTTTTTTTTTTGATAATGTTAACATTGTATTGAAGGAGAGAAATACAAAAAAGACCCCAGAGGGTCAATGGGATTTCTGCCCCATAGTATTATCTTTTTCCAGCCCCATATTATTATCTTCTAATGTTATTGGGATTTCTGTTCCTGGTTCCAATCAAAATATCTATGAACTGAAGAATTGCTTCTTCTTTTCATCTCAATTTCAGGTGGGAGAGAACCCATGCTCTTCTTGTTGAGGGCGGTCTTACTTATGATGACATAACTTCGTCTGTTGCTAACTCTGCAGTTGCATTTAGAGAAGGTGTCATTGAGTTATTTGAACTACTGGAGGTAGATACTTTACCAATTGCAGGGTTTATCCTGAAAGAGAATAACAAATTCTACATCAGTACCATCAAACTGATTGGGCAAAAGTGAGCAGTGGAGCTGCTGATTGCCAGTAAAGTGATCCGCTAGTAGGCTGTTCCTGTTAAGTTCTTTGGAATTGGACCTTCTCTTCCTAAAACACGATTTGCAAGAGCAACTGAAGACTATTATAATTTTCATGTCAAGATGAACTTTTTGTTTTCTGTTTCCTGTTTTATATTACAAGTAACATCTCTTTCAGTACTGAATTCTGGATCAAATTAACTTTGACCACTATTTTCAAATTTGATGTTACTCATTTGATGATGGTTATTGTGCTAAACTATTCCTCTGTTTCCTTGACAGAAAAAAGATGTTCCTGTTCTTGTATTTTCTGCTGGACTTGCAGACATTATTGAAGAGGCAAGTATAATGAAAGGTCTTTGAAACTATTCATTATATAAAAGTCTGTTCTTTTAGGGCTTGTTTGATTGGAGGATTGCAGCCCCATTATCATGAACTTTTGGCTTTGTTCAATGTTTTAAAGCTTGCCAAGTCAATTAGGGATCCTCCCAAGTCCATTTGGCTGGAAACCTCCCAGTCTCGGCGTGAGACTTGGACACTCGGCATGAAACCTTTTCAAGTCTCAAGCAAAGTCTGAGACCTAATTTATTGGTTTTGTTACATGGGTTGTTTCATCACTTTGAACTTTTGGTTTTACAACAAGGATTGCACCTTATTATTACATCATTTATTGCCTTTTTTCTGCTAATATTGTTTATTGTTGTCTAGGTTCTGAGACAGAAACTTCACAGATCTTTCAAGAATGTCAAGGTTGTCTCAAACCGAATGGTATTTGATGAGAATGGAAAGCTTGTGGCCTTTAAAGGTATCCATTCACTGATTTCAGTTATTCTTTTTTCCTTTTGAGTACACAGGGATTCACAATCATGGTCTTTTCTGCAATAGATTAGAGCTGATTAGTACATGGACATGGTACTTGAAATTTGGTTAAACCCAATATCTACTGTGGCAACTAGATGGCTGTGGATTGGCAAAAATTCATGTTAATGAAATCAGCAAAAAAAAAAAAAGTTACTTCTGATTCCTTGAAATCAAAAGATTTGTATGATGAGGTAACTTTTTATCTTAATTATTTTCAAAATGTAAACTCTCAAACAGAGGCATGCATCTGGAATGCTTGCCCTTTCTTATTCAATGTGATTTCCTGTGTTGCTCTACTTTACTGGACTTCCATTTACTATCTATCTTTTATTTGCTAATGAATATGGTAGGTTAGATATCTGAGCACTTGTCTTGCTTGTTGTTTGGTATTTGTTTACAGGAAAGACAATTCATGTTTTAAACAAAAATGAACATGCTCTTGATATGGCTGCCCCTGTTCATGACCATCTAGGAGATGCTCACGGTCTCAATAATGATACATCTTCAGTTAAAAACAGAACCAATGTTTTACTTCTTGGGGATCACATTGGAGATCTGGGCATGTCTGATGGTTTGGACTATGAGAACCGAATCACTGTTGGATTCTTGTAAGTACTAATAGTAGCATGGTTTTCTAGCACTCTATGATTTTTGTTCCTTTTTCCCTTTCTGATATTAGACTATGGGACTTAGTTGATTGGACTGGTACCAGGGAAGCACCCTTTCTCTGAAGGATTGATTTGTGAATGCCTTAGAAATAGCCACCCACTGTTTTAATTGCCAAACAGAACATGCATTACTGCCCATAATAAGTCTATTTTTACTTTGTTTTTATAGGGGATAACCTCTACAATGGATTGATACCTTTTTCGTGTGGCAATATCACAAACAAGGGTGACCCTTAATATGCTTATACAAAAAAGAGGCATTGGGCTAGGGTCAAGGCGGTAGCAGCTGGGTTTTCATAGCATTATGTCTCAAGTTCCATTCCTTGTAACCATGTCAAAAAAAAAAGAAGAAAGTTATTTTCTCCTTGAATAAAAAGAGTGAACCATCATCATCATCATCATCTAAGGCTTTTCTCAACTATTTGGGGTTGGCCATAGAGATGTAGCAAAAGCTTTGCGCTAGCTGCCAATCTAACACAACCCTCCTCCTTTCTCATCTGAGCTTAGGACTTGGGACCGGCAATAGCGGAGTTAGAGTGAATCTGATATCAGTAATGAAATATTCTCTTCTGTTCTTCAAAGATATTTTTCTTTATGGAATTCATGGCCAAACAAGCATCCTTTAGAGCAATGCCCCTTTACCCAATAGTGAAATTATAGGTGCTTAGTAAATTAACCAACAGCTTCCCTACCATTGAAATAAAGTGGGCTTACATGATTGTTTTTTTTCCTGTTGGTAACTATAGTCTATCCAGATACAGTGGGAATTTGACTTTAAGATTGCTCAAGAAATTCTTTGAAAGTGTATATTTTCCTTTCTGAACACTCAAAACAACTGCTGTTGCAGGAATGATAATATTGAGAGCTCGTTTGATGATTATAGGAAAGCATTTGACGTGGTTTTTCTGGTGGGTAAATTGCTAATAATCACTTTATTGTCATCTAGATTAACTGATAGCATGGCAGTATATTGGTTGACTCTCTCTTTCTCTCTTGAGTAATTTCTTTCATTGCACTTCTCACAACATATATTTGAAAAGAGAACATAATGGAATATCCAGCATTTAAAAACACTGGACTGGATACTTAACTGGGCATGGGGTATGCGAGTCGGCTTGCAGAGTCCTCGGTCTAGAGGGTCGAAACTCGGACCCGACTTATGAGATTTCTTTAAAGACCTGGACAGATTTGGTCAAGACTTGGATCATCTGAGTTGGGGTTGCCTGGAACTGGAAGGTTGCCAATTCCAAGTGACTTGGGCAAGTCGAGTTAGCCATGTCTTCAAACATTGGAATAATATGAAAATTCCCATTTTGTGTTTGTAATTCAGACAAGTACGTTTTTTGGACTTTGTATGTTTCAGAATGATGCACCCATGTGGGGAGTGGTTGAGCTTGTTTCCCGGCTTTGAGCTTGTGGCAAATGATCTTCATTTTAGAGGTAAACATGTATTTGCATAAATTTTCCTCTACTTTGTATATATGAATGCCTCCTTTTTTTAAGAATCAAAATAAGCTTTTAGTAGGAAAGAGATGACACGAGAAATTGGAGTTATCTAATGCATATTACCCTTCCTTCTTAAGTATGGGTTTGGTCAACTCCCTAATGGATAATGAATGTTTGCACCTTAAACCATTGATGACAAGAGACAAGAAGTTTGAAGGCATGACATTACTCTCAAGCTAAGAGATGATAATTAATTTTCAAAATGTTGTTATATTTTGTTTAATAAAATTGCCTGTATAGTGTTCTCAGGTATTAACTTTGAAAATTGGTCTTTAATGGAGTTGTCCCATTGGATTGGAACTTCTGCGTTTACTCTGTGCATAACGGCTATAAATTCGGAGTGAGGGAGTGGTGGTAGTTTCAACTGTTTACTCCTGTCCAAATCCACCCTCTCTAATTAACCTCATTGGAATCCCTTTAGTCAGGAATGTACTCACTTGTGCCTCACCCAGTGGACCTGCATCAGCCATAAGAACCACGCCTTTTCTCTTTTTGATTGGACCTCCGGTTTGGATGCATCACAGTTCATGAGTGACCTCGCAGCAAAGTTAAGCTTCACTGCCCCCATGACTGGTCTGGACCTTGGGCATTTGGTCTGGGCTTCAATTGTTCATGATATGCTATGTCCCTTCAAGTCATCCCATACGATGCTACAACATGTTCTCTGAATCAAGTATTCCCCCATTCACCTCACGCTAGAAACACTCAATATAAAGTCAGATGGCATATCTTTCACAAAAGGTTGTTATGCTTTCAAGGAAAGGGCAAGAGTGCATCCACTTAAAAGAGCCATTATTGTGGTTGTCTTGTTGACATCTTCCAATGCAATGGCAATTAAGCCAAGTAACAAAAGCCCTGGTCCTTGCATTTTCAGAATGTCTTGCAGAGATGGTCTACTCCTCTCAATATTTTTGTAACAAAATCACCATTCGGGAATTGGATGCAAATGTTGTTGAAGATGGTCCCTTGTGAGCAGTATTTGCAAACTCAACTCTATAGTCAACTCAATTGCTGCCAAAACCGAGTTGACTAGCTGAATCAAAAAGTAAACTCAGAAAAGCTTGCATTGATTTTTTCAAATTTGTGTGGGAAATATTAAAAATAAAAAAAACAATGTGTCAATTATGGGAATCGATGACACCTTGAAAACCAAGCATGAGACCCTTTGTTGCCTATATATATATATATATATATATATTATGGATAACACTTAGAAACACTCTTGAGCAAATTTCTACAGCATTTCGCTAATGGCTCATCACCTTCCAAAGTCTATCAGATGGTCACAATTATCGGATAGTGTTTGCATTTTATTAATTTTTCTATAATTCAGATTAACTTGAAATTTTTGTGGATGTGTGCGCCTTAGTGAGGCGCACCTAAATAAATATAAAAAATAATCCAAATAATAAAAATGACCAAATTACCTTATGAATATTTCAAGGGTGTTTTCATCATTTTATTTTTTATGTGCAATCAGAGTTTTATGTAATCCTTGCATACCAATGAAGCTGAAGGGGAAGCTATGACTGGGTTTTTTTTTATGGGACAGAATGTTAGGCAGTCAAGAAACAACATACCAACAGGATGAGTGTAGCAAAGATGAGAATGGTGAGATGGATGAGTGGCAAGACAAGAAATGATAGAATTTGGAATGAATATATTCAAGGGAACTTAGGAGTGGCTCTAATAGGCGACAAGATGAGGGAAAGTAGACTTTGGTGGGTTGGCCATATGTAACACAGAACCAATACAACATCGGTTAGGAGGTTCGATTTGGTTCAAGTGGAAGGCTATAAAAAGGACAAGGGAAGGCCCAAAAGGATATGCATGGAAGCAGTGAGAAAAAATATGGTGACTTATAGTCATACCATCGGTATGGCCCTTGATAGAGCAGAATGGTAGAACAAGATTGGGATAAGGCTTCGATGATGGTAATGATGAATATTTTAGTTAGGTGTGAGTTGGTTAGATGTATAAGCCCAAAATTTCAGATGAATTGGATTTGTAGAAAGTCTTTAGTGTTTGTAAGCGTTTTCTCATACACACAAACACAAACATAAATATATATATATATATATATATATGGAAGATACTACAAAATGCTTATAGGTGAAAATGAACAGTGATTTCGCTTACCTTCATCACCGTTCAAAGTTCATCGTACGGTCACGATTGTCCGGTAGTGTTTCATTTTTTATTTTTTTTATACAAATTGGAATGATTTGAAATTTGGAGCGCGTGTTCATCAAAAATAGGCGAATCTATGAAAAATATCAAAAAAATATCTTACATAAAATAAATTGACCAAAATACCCCAAAAAAGTTTCAAGCGTATTTTGGTCAATTTTTTTTTGCGAATTATTTTTTTTTATATTTTTATTAGGTGCGCCTCACTAAGATGTACACACACTCCAAATTTCAAATCATTCCGATTTTTACAAAGAAA